GTTTATGGTTATATAAAACACACAGAGATAGTTGTATAGGAATGTGAGTGATAGAGAAAGAGTACAGATGGATGAATGAAAGTTGTGTGTGAATAAAGGGGAAAATAGAAAATGCATTGGCATGGAATTACAACAAAAAGGATGGAAGGTTACTATGGTAATAGAGAGAAGAAGGTAGTGAATTCTGGTTGTTGTTTTTTTTTTTGCTTCAGAAATAAAAAAAATAAAATAACTATTTTAGCTTGCCTACAGTTGTAGCATTTGGGTTTGTCCATAAGAAAAGTATTTCTGAAGTGTAGAAATTCCCCTACCCTAGTGAACTAACATGGCTATTTTTTGAGAGTTGGATTTAGTTTTTGATCCAAATAGCCTTTCCCTTGCTTCTTATTCTAAAATTATTGTAATCTATTGAGATACAGCTGCTTCATGAGGAAGTTAAATGAATTGTTCAAATTAATGTATATGGGGCTTCCTTTGTGTAATCCAAACTTTACATTGACTGAGTCCCACCAAAGAACCCATAAAATAAGGGGGGATTCTGGGGTGGGAATGGGGTGGATAGAAGAAATATCCCAATGCAGAGGTAAGAGCTGAGCCTATAATTTCCTGATCCTTAACTCAGGTTCTACAATGTATCAGCTCTACTTTCCTTTGCACTGAGTAACATCAGCTTTTTCTGCTGTAAATAGATGATTTGGGTGATTTTATCTCAGTTTAGTTCGGTTTGAAATACTATTTTCCAGCTTATATTGCTTTTATGTAACATAAATCCCCCCCAACTATCCTGTACTATGTGGCTTGAGTCAGAATCATTTGGGTAATAAGGTATCAGTGGTTTGGTATTTCACAGTTTAGCTCTCACAGGGACAATTATGTTACAGTCTTTTGAAAACTTCAGAACAATTACAAGGAGAGTAATTTGTAAACTCATGAGAAGTGGCTTGGACTTGCCTGAACAAGGCTCTGCAATTCTCCTTGTCATGGCAACACAATCTGCTTCAAGGAGGTACTTCATACAACATAAAGCCTCAACTGTCATGAGCAGAAGACTCTTGCAGGAATGGGAATTGCTGAACAACATAAAGCAGGAAGGACAAGGAAATCAATGCAGTGACAGCATATTGCTACCATGCTATTTGGCCAAGTGCTTTCAAAGGAATGGCTTGTACAAAGCCAGGGGTGTCAAACTGCTGGCCCGTGGGCCGGTTGCATCATACGGAGCCCGTGCCCACCCCAGCTCCAGCAATGCAAAAAAAGTTGTGATACATCGCGTGATGTGATGTGGCAAGTTTGACACCCGTGTTCAAAGCATTGGGCAAGTGACAAAGCTTTGCATGGTCTTAGTAATTATGAATGCAGTGAGAGAGCATGGTTTTTTAAAACTCTTTTCCCCAATTCCTCCAGAAAGATAACAGGCCCTGAAAAGAGCCCCTGACTTTGCTTTGACACAGGGGGAATTTCCTTGAGACTGAACTATCTCTCCAAAAGTGGCTATTCAGTAAGGGAAGGGAAAGGAGGGCACCGCCATGCTTGCTCACTTCATACAGAAACTAGCATTGCACACAACGTACCTACTGTTTATTTCCCAAGTTTTCTCTACATTTTCTCTACTTGTGGGAGGGAAACTGGGCCTCGCTTAGGCCATCCCTTAGCTCTGCCTATCCTCTTTCTAGTCCTTTTGCAAAGCAGCGTCAAGCAGCCAGAACTCCACTTTTGTTTCCCTGTGCTAGATAAAAAGAACAAGTGGCTCAGAGCAGAAAAAATAGCCCAGAAGGACACTTACCCATAGCCAGTGCTTAAAGAAAATGTACAAGGAGCACTTGCCACCTCCAATCAGGGTGAGAGAGATGTAGATCTTCTGCCAGAAAGACCTTGACAGCTGGGGAAGAAGGCTCAGACTGAGGGAAGTGAAAGGATGGGAGATTTATTGAATAGGTAGATGGGCTTAAGTCAGTGGTTGGCTCATCTACTCTCTCTCTCTCTGATATATTCTTCCTGGAATTTCTTTTGGCATGAGTTATGGGCAAGGATGGTCTCAACAATTATTTATTCCAGCACAATGGGAAGAAGCATAAATTCCAAACTAGAGGCAGTTTCTTCATATGTTTCTTTGTTAAATTAGTTTGCCATCCTTCTCGCTAGAAGGCGACTCTGGAAGGCTTACAACATTGAGGCTATCTGAATAAATACTGCATGTATTAGAAATGGCTGAAGTAGAAGGAGTGGCAGCTGTCTCCAGGCAGAGAATGAGAAGTGCTGCAAATGTCCCATTGGATCATTCTGTCTTTGCTTGATGGCTGCTGAGAAGAGGAGCAAGACCAAATAGATATCTTTCCTTGTGGGCCCACCCAGGTGAAAGGGGTGGATTACAGAGACTGACTACATTAAGGAAAGGAACGCTGCCAACAATGTAACACGGAAGCTTCCTGCAGTAGAGAGGAAAGGGGTGTTAGCTGCTCAGGCGGAAAGGAGGGACCAAGAATGTGGAATGACAGCTGCGGAGAGTACAGTAGTGAGCCTGGAAGGGGAAGAATAATCCTTTCATGTTGTTCAAACCACACACAATAAACACAGTAGGGAATTACTTTCTCCATGGGTTTTGCAAGACAGAAGGATGGCAGTCAACCAAAGCATTTGGCTTTGCTTGTGAATTCCCTGGCTCTTCCTGCCACCTGTCACCCTGCCCTACTAGCCCAGTTGAGCACCAGCCACAGTTGCATCTTCGCTATCTCTGATTATAAATGCAAATTTAACATTACTTTTAGCTATCATGTCAGACTAAAACATAATAGTGGATTGGCATTCCGCCTTCTACTTTGTGCGGCACACAGAAATGTCAAGATTGGGTAAAATTCCTGTTCACTATTCTAAAAGCTTCTAAATATTCTAAGAAATGTAGGTCCTTCTAATTGTGAATATAACATATATGAGTATTTTTTTTTCCATTTCTGATTCTCTGATGACTTTATTCTATGTGAAATGAAAAATATGTGTAAAACGTAAATGAGAAAACAATATTGGTAACAATAGCGAGAGATAATAACCAGTTTAACTGGTCTATATATATTCTCATGAACTGAGTAAATTAAACCCATATTCAAGCAGGGAGACCCTGCATCTGAAAGGCATCTAAAAAGCAAAATTTTCATAACCTGATTTGTATCTGATGAAACTTAAATATTTTCAAAACTGAATTGCTCATATCACATTTTCTGATACTGTAGTTAAGGTGTGGCGTATGATATCATTCATCCAGCAAACCACTCCCTCTCCCCAAATGCACAAATAGGTTTCCGATGGATTTTTAAATCCTTGTTCTTAGTCTTTGTACATCACAATAATGTGCATCACATTATAAGAAATGTTAGGCTGCTGAGGAAAAATTTGGCTGGAGCTACATCCCACAATTCCCTCAGATTTTTTTTTGGGGGGGGGAGATGGTTTTACTGCCACAGCAATAATGTTCTTAGGTCTTTCTCTGTCTTTCTCTTGTGAAAACACGGAAAAAGTTATTTTTCCAATTTATTTTCCTCATGCTTCTTTTCCTTTTCTTATATAACATACCTCTGACTTTTGACTTATGGCAAAAAGCATCTGAATGTTCAGAAATGTGAGAGCAACTTACCGCCCATGGCACTGTCATTGTGTACTTTGTCTTAAATGATAGCAGATAGTTTCCCATCCTGCCAGAATGTACAAAACAGACCCATAATCTCACCTTTGTGTAACCACTTGAGAAAAACGCTTTTCGCTACTCATCCAAACCTGAGGGACTTGTCTACAGTCTCTATTCCCACTCATGGAATATCTGTCAGACCTATCTCTGGTGCCTTAGCTACCTTCTATAGTTTCAGGCATATGAGTGAAAGAGGCATAATTACTAATGTTTCCAACTGGTTCCACATCCTGTTGAAATAAAGATAAAATGGAAAGAAGCAGCCCTCCATTGACTCAGAAAAGAATAGAAAGAAGCCCACATGTCATTTGTCAGGGAGGCAGAAATCTCTGTTTCTATCTCCAAACCTTTCTATTGCATTGTTGTCAAACCTCCTTTTGCTACCTTCTTTATCTATCTGTTGCCCTAGTTCTGACAGTGAGTATCAGTTCATTCCATCCTTTGGACTGTGCTCCTTTTTGGTTCGATTTCAGATGAAGAAATTCAGAAATCTTGTAAGAGGTTCTGTGGTTGAGCATCAGTCCTGTCCCTCTTGGTCCTGATCCTCATAACATAATACAACATGATGGGCTAGTGTTAGTATTTTGGAGAGAAACGGAAGAAGTGATTCCCTGTAGCCACTCCTTCTCCTCTTTGTGAGTTTCCCTATTTGAGTTTCTACTGTATCTCTCTCAGTTTTCTCTTCTTAGGGCTGTATTTATACAATTTTCTTTATGGTACTTTCCAGTATCATACTCCTGATTTCATACCTGAGATGAGCATTACAGGCTGATTGAATGGATGTTTCCATGTCTGAAATAAGATTCTAACACTAAAATATACAGCAAAGAGTGTTACAAAGTGTATAGGATTCAGTATTACAAATGTCTGGGTACAAATTATCAATATACAATCTTTAAAGTAGGATTTTTTTTCCCAGTAATGTAGGAAAAACATATTAAAGTTTTAGTACTCTTGGGTATTACTTTTTCAGAATTAAATGTTGAAAGATATCTTTCTAATCTCACATTCAGAAAGCTAAAGTAAAGCTGTTAACTGTTAAAATATGATTCTCTTGGATTAATTAGTTCTTTGTGCAGTTGGTATATGTATACAGAATCAACTTTTTATTTGATTATTACTTTCATAGAATTATAGAATAGAGTTGGAGGAAAATACATAGGTCATCAATCTTTTGCATAAATACAAGTATCCCTTTCTATACCTAATATATTTGATTATTTTTCCTAAGTGTAGAACTTTGCATGTTCTATTACATTTCATTCGAGATATTCAAGCTAGATTGTCTAACCTATCAATGTTGAATTTTATTTCTGTCTTCTAGGGTATTATTTATCCCACCCAGTTTTGTGTCAGCTGCAAATTTGATAAGCATTCTTCCATCTCTTCATTCAAGTCATTAATGAAACTGTTGACGATAGAGGACCCAGGATTGATCCTTGTGGCACCCCACTTGATACCTCTCTCCAATTTGATGAGGAACCACTGATGAACACTATTTGAGTATGATTTTCAAGCCAGCTGTGGATCCATGTAATAGACATGCTATCCAATCCATACTTAACTAGCTTCCTAATCAGGCTTCCTGAGATTAACATATTTAATGTCAACTGAATCCCCAAATCTACTAAAGAAATTTTCCATTCAGAAAATAAGGAATTCTTCTTGACAATTCCATGTTGACTTCTGGCAATTTCTGTGTTATTCTCAAGCTGCTTACCAATCAGTCTCTTTATGGTCTTCTCTAAAAAATTTCCCAGCTACAGTGTCAGATTGATTGGTTCTGTGTTGCTAGATCCTGCTTTTTCTCCTTTTTGATAAGGACTGCAATTGCTCTTCTCAGTCATCTGACATCTCATCCAATCTCTGAGATATTGAAGATCAGACATTAAGGATCAGCCAGACCATCAGCAAAGTCCTACTGTACTCTAGAAAGCAATACACCTATCCCTCATTCAAAGAATTCCTTGACAATCTTCTATCACTTTCAAGTTTCATTTCTGCCCCTTCATGTTCCTCTTCATGTTCCAATTGCCTTGTTGCATTTTAGCATTTTGTCATCTTCATTAAACAGCTGGAATACTATGATTTTGCCTTCTTTTTTATTGACATAATTAAATAGTTTCTGTTCTGTTTGGCATTATGTACCAACTTCACTTCCTGTGAGTTTAGTTTTTCTGATGCCATCTCTACAGTTTATGTACATGTATCCTTTCTTGGTGATCTATCCCTCTATCTCCCATCTGTGTTCTTTTTTATCTTCAGATCTTCAGTAAATTTTTGTGCAGCCACGTTGACTTCTTATGCTGTCCTTCCTATTTCAAAATTGTTTGCAATTTTGTTTTTAGTATATACTTTTTTTAAAAAAAGCCTTCATCTTCTCCTGCTATATAATCCTATTTATCTTGTTCTGACTTTATTAAACTATGTTTTGAGATTTTGCAAAATATATTTTTGACTACACTCAGCCTGTACTTTCCCTTTTTGTTTCTGTTTCTTTTGAATAAATAATATTCTTCACTTGCAATATTTGAATCATGAGAGACATCCTACCAGATCTCTGTTATGTCTATTAAATCTATGCCTTCTTAAGTTAAGAATTTTAACATTAGTATGAATATCGCAAAAGCTGTAAATTTTATGAGTCAGTGTTGTTTCAGATTTTGCACTGAATGTTTAATAAGATCCATTGTAATAATATAACCTCTTCTCCAGTGCACAAGTCCTTATTGTAGGATTTTCATCTTTAGGTTGTACACATTTCAGTAAGTCCTGCTAATCAAGTTTGCCACATTTTGAGCAAAGATAGTTTTAGAAGTCCTTCTGAAATGCAACCCATTTCATGTCAGGTAGCACAAACAAGGATCAAAGAAACCAAATCCCTCCCACTGAGTTTTTGGGATGTGTAGGCGCATGCTTGCAGGGCCCTCTCCTAGTTTCTTGGTAGGAGGGCTGCCCCCACAGCCACATTGCTGGATGACAAAAGGAGCATTGGGTCTGGGTGCTTTAGAATCAGCTCGGCCGCAAACAGGCATTTAAGTTTCTCAAATGTCGCTTGACATTCCATTGTCCATTGGAGTGACTGGCTGGGCTTAGGCATCCCCCCCCTTTTGTTTTTAGCAAGTTTGTGATGGGGAAGGCAATTTGTGCAGTTGCTGGGGGTCTCCATTAAACTGTACACCGGGGGGGTGTCTTGCAGGCTATCCTTCACCCCAGGGATGGTCCTGCAGGTGCTCCCTGCCAGGCAGCCATCCCTGGCACTGGAGTGGTAGCAGCCACCACCATTGAGCTGGCTGAGGTTCCAGTTGTCGTAGCAAGGATGGAGACTCCATCGTCAGCTGTGGTAGGGGGTGGATGCGCATCAGGTTGCCACCTTTGAGTCAGGGTTTCGTGCACTTTGAGGTTCTCAAAGCCCCCTGCATGAACTTTATGGCTTGTTCCATCATCCAGTCCATCCAGTTGCTTTCTCCGCACCCATCATCACTCTCTTTCTCCAACCCTTTCAACTGGGCTTGCTTTCCACATTGGTGGCTGCCCCTGCCCTCATGGGTGAATGTCACCCCCTGAGGTTTCTCTTCTCACTCCTCTTTTCTTCCAACCCCTAGGGACCATCAGGGTCTCAGTGGGTCGTCTTTCCCCACTGTCTGACTGGTACAAACAGATCCAGTCCTCCCAGAGGGGGTCTCATAGATACCTCTCCCTAGGTTTCAATTTCTTCTTGGTCAGTCCCTCAAGTCAACATTGTATGCACAGTCCCCACAGTAGAGGTAATATCCTCTCCGGGTTGACCAAAATTGCAGTTTCTGCCTAATGTCATACCTTTCCCCATACAAACATTTATGAAAGCAGACTCTCAACTCCAATTGATTGAAGTGGAAAAAAAACTTTTACTAAAGATGTTGGTTGCAGGAAAGTGAGGCAGACACTGAAGTTCCCGCACATTGATACAAAGAGCCAAACCCAACGTTCCCCATTCCTCTCCCAATGTCTGATCTGTTATAACCCAATCTGGGATCGCTGCAGTGTTGTGGGAAACTCTGGGTTATTTAGGCTGCTGGAATTTAACACCTAAAGCAAGTAAGTAGCCTTGATGATCCCTGGTATAAGCGGTACAAACAGCTCTGGTCTTCCTCACATGTCAGCTCCCCCTCCCCATTTCCCAATTTTAGATACACAAGTATGGATTGCCCCAAATACCTCCCTTCCCCTTTGATGGCAAGACGCAGCAAGGCACCAAGCCAACGATGGCGACCCTAACAATGTGCATATTCAGTTATTCACCTACATTCTTCTTTTTTCCTTTTATACTCTTGTATAACTTTATAGTGGTCATGTGATAAAAAACCATACAATAGCATAAAAGCATAAAAATGCTTACATAATTATAAAATCCTGAAATTAAGACAATTATTTTTCTGCAGAAAGCAATGGCAAAAAAAGCAAATAAAATAATACTTAGACCAGGTGGAACTTCATTAGCAAATAGAGTTCAAGTTGCTATAGAAAGGGGATTGAAGTATATGTAGGCAAATTTGCATTGCCAAAGAATACTGCAAAATGGCTGAAAACAAGACATTAAAGTGGACCCCAAATCAGAATTCTATGTATGTTAGAAAGGTAATACTGAATAGGTAATTTGCTGGCCTGAAAAATTTCCTGTTTTCACCACTTGAGCTTCCAAATTCCTGAGCTTCTTCTCCAGATTTTCAAATATCATAGTAATATGGTTGTAACTGTTCTTTGCAGAATCATTGTCCTCATGGTATAGAAAAAAAAGAATAATTGATAGTGGACTTGATAAGACTTGAGCTTGATAAAAATGATAGACCTGGGAAATGGATGAAGAGCCAGATAATTGGAAGAGGGCAAACTTTTCCATCTTCAAAAAAAAAGAGAATAGTAAAATGCCAGGAATTAAGATTACTCATCTAACATTTGCAGACAGGTCTGCTTATCAGAATTGCCAACAAAGAAAACCTGGGTGGGATAGCTAATACCTGGAAGGCAATCTTTCCAAATGCTCTTGAGGAATTGGCTGAAAATAACATTTAGCAAAGACAAATGCAGCATTAAGCAGTTCATACATTTTCTAGGAACTGTTTCTGTCAAACTCCAACTAAAATCCTGCTTCTGCAACCTACAATTCACAATTGCCTGAGGGAAAATATAACTTCTTATTAAATAAGAGTCAATAAAAATAAAAGTAGAGTAATTCTGACCTTTCTTTTAATTGTTTGCTATTTGACATCTTCTGGTACACTGCTACTGGTACACTGTTTCTTTTCATGTTTTATTTGGAACATGTCAAAATAGGCCATTTTTGTTGCTGTTAGCATCTCTCAGTAACCTTAGCAGATTTTGTGCATTTCATTTCCCAATACAAGCTCAGTAATTGCTGTAATTCTTTAATTTCAGACATTCTTCTTAGTTCACAAGTTCCTGTTTTCATCTCCAGTATGGATCTGAGTTGATTTTCAGCTTTTCAACTTAGTCAGCTGACTTCCTTCTTTCCCTTCTTGAAACAATATGTTATGATTGCTGTAAGTCTCTATCCGTGTAGTTTTCCTTGCAAGAGTATAGTCACAATCCTCTATAGATATGGTTTCTTCCCTGATTGTGCAGTGAGGCCTACAACCCCTGGATTTCCGCTGTTCTCCCACCAAATACTAACCAAGCTTGACCTGGCTTAATTTTTTAAAAACTAGTTAGCTAGGAACTGCCACTTGCTGTTTTTGTTTATTTGTTTAATTTGTTAATTTGTTTTATTTTCTTAAAATTCAAAGTAGGCGTTTGATTTATTTTCTTAAAATTCAAAGTAGGCGTTTGATCACCTTTTATTTCCTGTAAAATCAAGCACTCTGCCATTACATGATGCCCTTTCCCACTCTAAGAAGTCTTCTTTCTGAATCGGATCAAGGATATCTGATCCTTTGTTTCTTTCTTTGTCAGCAAGGGAAGTCCAAGATTTCCCAAAGTTAAAATATTTGGTCAATTTTGTCTTCAACAAATTCAAGTTAAATAAAGTCCACTACCATTACTATTCATTTATTTTTCTTTCAAATAACTGCAGTTACATCCCCTAACTATCATCATTGTCTTTCTTTATTCTTAGTCCTGTTTAAATCCTTTTCAAGATGTCCAGGATTAGAAACAATGAATGAAATGTGGTTTGCCCAGCAAGACTGTAGTGATAATAATTTGGAGAAGGAAGAGAGAGAGTCTAAAAAAAAGTGCTTGCCTTTTTTAATAGCTATATCTCTATATTCCAGGATTTTTCTCCCACAAATACTCTTGCCACACTAAACCTCTCTTCAAGTTTAACACTGGTGCCATTCTTTTTCACTAATGCCTTGGATGAAAAAGTGGAGGAAACCCTTATCAAAAATGATGTTAATACAAAACTGGGTAGAATAGCTAATACTAAAGGAAATAGAAACAAAAAAATATTTTGATAGATTAGAGAAATGAACCAGAAATAATAGAATGAATTGTTTTAAAAGGCAAAAGCAAAGATCTTCACTTAAAAAAGAAAAGCTAGAAGAGAAGAGAAGAGAAGAGAAGAGAAGAGAAGAGAAGAGAAGAGAAGAGAAGAGAAGAGAAGAGAAGCTGGAAGGGACCTTGGAGGTCTTCTAGTCCAGCCCCCTGCTCAAGCAGGAGAACCTATACCATCTCAGACAAGTGACTATCTAGTCTCTTCTTAAAAACCTCCAGTGATGAAGCGCCCATGGTTTCTGAATGCAAGCTATTCCACTGGTTAATTGTTCTGTCAGAAGTTTCTCCTTAATTCCAGGTTGCTTCTCTCTTTGATCAGTTTCCAACCATTGTTTCTTGTCCTGCCCTCTGGTGCTTTGGTGAGTAATGTGACCCCCTCTTCTTTGTGGCAGCCCCTCAAATACTGGAATACTGCTATCATGTCACGTTTCTTTTTTAGACTAGCCAAACCCAAGTCCTGCAGCCATTCTTCATATGTTTTAGTCTCCAGGCCTTTGATCATCCTAGTTGCTCTCTCTGAAACTTTTTCCAAGGTCTCAACATCTTTTTTGTAGTATGTTGACCAAAATTGTTTGCAGTATTCCAGGTGTAGTCTTACTAGGGTTTTATAAATTTAATATTTCATGTGATCTTGATTCTATGCCTTTGTTTACACAACCCAGGATTGTATTAGCTTTTTTTGGCTGCTGCTGCACACTGTTGACTCATATTCAAGTGATCAACCACTAAGACTCCAAGATCCCTCTCACAATTACTGTTTTTGAGCCAGGTCTCGCCTAATCTGTACTTATACCTTTGATTTTTCCTGCCTAAATGTAAAACTTTGCTTTCCCCCACATTAAAATTCATTTTGTTAGATAGGGCCCATTGTTCAAGTTTGTCAAGAACTTTTTGGATCCTGAACTTGTCTTCTGGGATGTTGGCTACTCTTGCCGGTTTAGTGACCTCTGCAAATTTGATGAGTTCCCCTTCTATTCCCTAATCTAAGTCATTGATGAAGATATTGAAGACTCCTGGACCTAAAATGGAGACTTATGGTGCCCCATTGCTTACTTCTCTCCATGTGGATGTAGCACCATTGAATACAACTCATTGAGTATGGTTTGTCAGCCAGCTACAAATCCAGTGGTGGAATTCAAATATGTGAACAACCGGTTCTCTGTGTGAATGCCACTTCCAGAAGTCCATTCTGGGCCTGGGCAACAAAAAATTAGCTACTGGTTCTGCCGAACTGGTGCGAACTGGCTGAATCCCACCACTGTACAAATCCATTTGTTGGTGATATTGTCTATTCCACATTTTGCCAGCTTACGAAGAAGTAGATTGTGGTCTACTTTTTCAAATGCCTTACTGAAATCTATGTCCATAGCATTTTGCTGGTCTACTAATTTAGTCACTTTATCAAAGAATGAGATAAGATTGGTTTGGCATGATCTGTTTTTAACAAATCCCTGCTGGCTACTAGTTATAACTTTGTTTGCTACTAGTTGTTCGCAAATCTGTTTTTTGATAATCTTTTCCAGGATCTTCCCAAGTATTGATAGTATAGGATAGGGATGACTTGAGAACAGTGTGTGAGAAATACATTTGGAGATTGTATTTTATTTGAAAGTAATCAAAAATTATTAATGAATCAATAAACATGGCTGCTAAAAAGGGACGTACAAGTACAGGATTGCATCAATGAGTTTACAAATCAAAAGGAAATATTATTTCTTTGCTCTTTGATTAGAGCCCCTCTTAGTTACTGCTTCCAGTTCTGAGCACCACATTTTAAGAAACATGTCAGGGAAGCTGGAACTGGTGCAAAGAAAAACAAAGAGGATGATCAGGGACTATAAACAAACCCTTACAAAGATAAAGAGAGTAAGAGAACAAAGCATATTTACTTTTCAGGATAATCGATCAAGAAAAGAAGCAATAGAAATTTTCAGGTCTAGTGTCACATACAAAAAGATTAAGGCTCTTTTCAGAAAACAGCAAGTGAAATAATGCTTTTTCCAATGTTAAGGAAAGTAGCCTATCAAGGATAGTGGTGATTTCTCCTTCATAAGATGAACTAAACTGTCTATGCCCCATCCCAAACTGTGAAGGAAATCTTTCATGCTAACAAATCATACTGCCAACTACAGGTAATTTTTGTTTAGTTACCATAATTGGGGCCAACAACTCAGTCATTAAGTTAAATGGTTACTAAGTAAACTTTTGATTGTGCTTATGATCTTAATTCAGCTTGGCTTTGCTTTACAAATATGTGAAGGTCTTAAATGCAAGGATTAGTGGCAAAGTTACTTCTTCATCACTGTCGTAACTGTGAAGGTTGCTGTACAAGGCAGTTGCTAAATGAGGACTACTTGTAATTTAAAATCAACTGACAGTTTGACTAGTCCAAACTAAATGTATTAAGGGCTTTAGCAGATATCCATTGGTGTTAGGCAGCCAATACATTTAAGATAGGTTGTACTATCTCATATTCTAAGTTCTTTCATTTCTGTCCTTTCCACAAAATATACGAGGAAGTAGGCATTAAGAAAGCTCTTTTAAAAGAAAATTGGGAAAAGTATCCGGCCAGCTAAAGAACATGAGTAATTGTTTTCTGGTGGTAGTTTCAAGTGGCCCATAAACATTCCTTGAACAAATTATTCTGTTCATTTAAAGTTGATAGCACAGATACTAAAATATGGAGAATACTGCTCAGACCTCTTTCCATCCAAGTCACATGCATTTTGGTTATGTGTATTTAGGTAATTACTGTAAATATAGCCAGGATGTCTTACAATAATAAGTGAAGCAGGTCAGCTGCAGCTGCCAAAAAAGCCAATGCAATCTTAGGCTGTATCAACAGAGGGATAGAATAAAAATCTTGTGAAGTGTTAGTACTGTTTTATACTGTTGTGGTAAGACAACCCTTGGAATACCAGTTTTGATCACCATAATGCAAAAAAGATGTTGAGTCTTTAGAAAGAGTGCTGAGAAAAGCAACAAAAATTATTAGGGAACTGGAGACTAAAGCATATAATGAATGGTTGCAGGAACTGGATATATCTACTCCAGGGGTCCTCAACCTTGGCAACTTTAAGACTTGTGGACTTTAAAGCTGGCTGAGGAATTCTGGGAGTTGAAGTCCACAAGTCTTAAAGTTGCCAAGGTTGAAGACCCCTGATCTAGTCTAATGAAGAGAAAGTCTAGCAGTCTTCCAATATTTGAGAGGCTGTCACAAAGAAGAGATGGTTGACCTATTCTCTGAACACCTGAGGGCAGGACAAGAAATAACCGATGGAAGCTTATCAAAGAGAGAGCCAATCTAGATTTAAGGTGAAATTTCCTGTCAGTGAGAACAATCAGTGGAATGGCTTGCCTTCAGAAATTGTGGGTGTTTCATCATTAAGAAGTGATAAGACAGCCATTTATCCCAAATGATATAGAGTCTCCTGCTTAAGCAGAAGTTTGGCCTGGAAGACCACCCAGGTTCCCTTTCAAGTCTGTTATTCTGCATTCTGCATGTCATGTTGTTTTTAATCTAGTATTTGCTACACTTGTTTTAGTGCACAAAATATGCATTGAAATCATTTTAATACTTGTACACTCTCTCTCTCTCTTCATCCTAAAGCAGAAATGGTTTGAACATTTGGAACTCATGAGTGAGTTTTTATTCTCAGTGCAATTAGTATACATTCAAACCAGTTCCATCATACTTCATGCATATTGTTACTCTAAGTCACTTTTTCCAACCTGCTAAACTTGGCATAGCCATGCTGGCTAAAAGTGATGGGAATTGTAATCCAACTCATTGTTGGATTACAACAATTACAACAATATAAAGAACAGTTTGGGAAGTCTGCCCTAAATCATTATTTCCTATAAATTAAAGTAAGGTGGGAAGTGAGTATGCTTAGATTTATAAATTATAATTTGGTAATCATGATTTGCATTACTATGGAATATGGCATATACTGTAGATCTTGGCAATTAAGCTCAAATTTTAATGCTAAAATAAGAATATTAATTCAAAATAAAACACTGAAATGCAAATTATTTTTATTTTTAAATGTAGTTTCAAACAGGCTGTTTCAAAACTGTACAACTTTTGTCAATGTTTTAAAAAACATCCATTCCACATTTAGTGTGGTATAGCAGTTAAGAGCAAAGAGACTCAGGTTCAACTCAAATCCCAGCCATGGATGCTTATTGTGTCACTTTAGGATAGTCACTATCACACAGGCTTGTTGGTATAAATACAAAATTGCATCAGGGAGCCTTATGCACGCCACCTTGTGATCTTGGGAAAAGGTTGTTTTGATCAGCAGAGGTTTCTGAAGATGTCCCCAATGTCAGAAGTTTGATGTTCAGGTCTGTAAGAAACAACCTTCTCCTTTTGGCTCCTTAGTGGAACACACTAAGCAGGTTGCTTCTTCCCTTCTTCCAGGATTTAGAAAGATGATAAAAGCATATCACTCATTGATTTTAATGTTGGTATTTAATGTTGAGATAGCAAAGCCCTTCTGAAAGGTTTGCCTTGTATACTTTTATATCATTATTGTCACCATTCTTTCCTCTCCTTTAGTTTCTATAGCAATTTATTGGCAACTGCAATCAGAACACATACCATCCATCAGGTTTTAGCCCTGCAGAATTATTTCTTGCACAAGGCCAGCATCCTGGAATTATGTCAGAACCTCATCTTGTGCCAATTGTTGGCAGAAAGCGATCCATTTTTAAAAAACAGCAATTCTTGAAATGCAATTACCGTTCCAACTCTATTAAAATAAAGGAAAGCTTTACAACAAGACAATAATCTTTAATCTGGCTTTTTGTTTAGGCAGACTTTGGAACTTGCTTGTTTACTCTCATGCTGGGCAAAAACATTTTTGTTCTTTTAACAATTGCTCATATCAATCTTGTCTGGAATCTAATTTCTATAGAAAAGGGTTTTCATATCTGTGACCGCTGAATTATAAAGAAGGGAAATAACTTCTTATTTCTGGGTGGATATACTTTATATCAAGAGCAAAGTTGCCTTTATTCAAATTGGGCTTTGTTGGATGCACCATTGGAAGAGT